CGAGCCCCAGCTCTCCCGACTCCAAGTGGAAGACCTGGTAAGTGCCTAACACTCCCTGACTTTGTGAGCAATGGCCCGGAGGCTGCGCCTGAACTGGAAAGTTACCTCCTAGGAGGCACCGCGCTAGGAAAACAACTGAGGTGTTTCGCCATCGGCTGAGGGCAACCCTGCCTTCCTCACCGGGCCGGACGCACACCAGCTGTGCACAGAGGCACCTCTGCCGTGAGAGGTCTGTTTCAAAGACCACAGTTAAGAACTGCTCCGTGAGGAGTTTCCTTTCGCAGGTGGATCAGAATTCCAGAGCGGCAGTTTCTGTTTTCAGAGTATGTATGGTTCAAGGAGCTCAGATCTGGGGAAGTCACAATACTAAGCAAATAAAACCAAAAGCATACCATTTACACCGAGTGCAATTGAAACAGCTGGAGAGACCTAAAGTTTAGCTTTCTGCACGTGAGAACAGATGGTCTCCATTCACACAGACGCGGTGTACACACAGCCTTCACACGCGCACACACAACAGCCACAGCTGAGCACACTCAGGAACACCCCTGCCCTTCAAAAGGCTGTGGGATCTCCCCGCAACACACACACACACACACACACACACACACTTAGAGCTTCCACCTTGCCTGGCGCCCCCATGTCCCTTGTTCGGTGGCTGATCCCACTTTGAGGAAGGATGGAAAAGGTGGTTAGTAGGGAACTGTCCCAAGCAAAAGCGAGGCGGAGCCGGAGAGGTCTGCTCTTTCATCCCAGCCTGCGCTCCTCTCCTGTGGTCCTGGGGAGGACCAGGAGCAGAGGGCACTGCAGGAGCTGAGGGCAACATTTTACACACCTGAGAGCCCCGAATGTTCTAGTGGTGCTCACCCCTTCAGCCCCAAAGCTGGGCAGGCTGGGCTTGAGGCCTCAGGGCCTGCACATGTCCTGTGGTCCCCATGGGTCTGATGGATCCCGCTGATCTAGCCTCAAAGGCGGCGACTCAGCTGCAGAACAGCCACTCCTGTGGAAGGACAGGCTTCCAGTCTGAGCTAGAGGAGGCAGCTGGTATCTTAGGCAGCAGAGGAGAGTGACCAGAGGCCAAGGGGCAGTCATGGGCAGGGTGCAGCAGCATGTGCAGTGCTGGCTCCCACCCCGGGAAGGCAGCCTCCAATCGCGGCTCCGTGCGTTTCATCCTTGGGGCTGATGGTCCGTCCCTTCCAGTGGTATCCGGGCCAGCTGCTCTGACAAAGCATGCATGTTCTGCATACCATAGCTTTGTCATTTCCAAACACCAAGCATGGAAAAGTTTAATCATATTTGAAACTCACATGTTATCATAACTTATGTATGTCCGTGAAAGAAAACGAGTTATTGGGTATTTAAAATCTGGTTTCAACTGCTTAAAATTTTTAACAGGATAATCATTTTAGATTTATTACCTATTAGTCTCTCATCTGAAGGTTATAATGAGAAGTGTGATGAGATCAATTATTCAAACATCTTAGTAAGCATATAGAGCAGTTTCAACATAAAGCCATGTAGGAAAATGTTATGCTTATGAAATCAGGCTCCAGTTCCTCTTAACTTTAAAAGTATCTCCTTTAAACTGGGGTTGATGGAACATCCCTGTAATTCCAGCACTCTGGGAGGCTGAGGCAGGAAGATTACAAATTTGAGCCTCGCCTGGGCAACTTACCCGCTTAGAAAGACCCCACTAAAATTAAGACATAAAAAAAGGTTGGGGATGTAGCTCGGAGAGAAGACCCTGGATTCAATCTCCAGTACTAAGAAAAATTCCTTAAAGCTTTATTTAAATTCAATATTTAATAATAATCTTCCTTTAATACTTTGTTATAATTTTAAGAAGAAAACTGAACCGTAGTTTTCACCAAGCCCTACATAGATATCGTGCAATTTATTTCAGTTAATTTTATCCCTAAAATTCTGTATTTTACAAATGTGAAAAGGGCAGGAAACTAGTGCGTTATATTTATGAACCTATAGCCACACTTGTGATTGCACAGGTTGACGGACAGGCCTCCTAATAGGCCTATTGTCATATATTTTCCTGGCACCGGCCAGTTAATTTGGATTTCCAAAGTGCAGAACGCGAACCTGTTGTCCCAAACTGAGTGAAGGAAGCCTCTTCAGACAAAGGGCAAGAGGTTGCAGCACAGTTTGCAAATGCATTTTGCAGGCTGCAAACAGCTGCAGGGGAGCTGTTTTTTTTAAGGGTGCATTGTTATCCTTTAAAATGACTTCTGCAATTACCCGCCCCCGCCTCCGCCCCCGCCCCGCACGGTTGTGCGCAGGGCCTCAGGGGGCTCCTCCGAGCGCATTTAAAACACACTCACATAGCGCGCAACTCAAGGAAAAGGGGTGCCTGTGTCAGCGCGGGGTTTAGGGAAAGCCCGCCCAGGGAAAGCGCGGCCAGTCTGCAGCTGTGCCCCTTCCGTTTCTCTCTTGCTTGAGTCTGCTCAGGTGACCAGACTGAATCTTTCTGCTGGGCTTTAAAACCATTTTCAAGTGGATTCTCCGAATTCACCCGGGCAGATGAAATTTGCTGTTTCGTAAGCTCGGAGCAGCCGGCAGCGCTCTGGGAGGCCAGCGGTTGCACCACGTCCTGAGAGCGCAGCTCTGTCTGGGAGCCCTCTGTAGGAAGTAAGGCCCATGTTCCCAGAAGGTTAGGCGTGGTTTTAATGAGCTCACTCACCGAGGCGGGGAGAGGGGTGGGTCCACGTTTCTATTTTTAAAATGCTTATATATATCATCCTTTGTCGTCCAGATGCAACGAAAGAGAGCGAGACACCCCTCACGTTACAATTGCAAGTACCAACCTCTGCGCTAACCTAATTTCCAACCAAAACGTCCGAGGGTGCTGATACTTCCGTTGGCGCCCCAAGGGGGGCACTCCGCGCCCAATTCCACCGAGTGGGCGTCCAAGCTAGCCCAGCTGTTTCCCCGAGCCGGGGGAGCAAGGTTGGTGGAAACTGCTCCCCGCGCCTCCAAGAACCTGACGGGCCAAGCCCCCAGGAGGGCTTCTCCACGAAATGCAAGCACGTCACTCACCAGCCTTAGCGCGTAAAGAACTTGGGGACCCGCCTGTCATCGCCCCACTCTGTGAGGCCGAGGCCGGAGGATGGAGAGTTTGAGCAATTTAGTGAGTTGATACCCTGCCTCAAAATAAAAAATAGAACGAGCTGGGGATGTGTCTCAGTGCGAGGGCCCTGGGTTCCGCCACCAGGACGGGGTGGGGGACTTGGGGGTCAGTCCTCGCGGTGCCCCGCGCCACGCGGGCTTGCTTGGGTTTGAGCTAAGATCCCGTACTGGCCTCCGTCCGCCAGCCCTTCTTAGGGCTTCCCTGGGCTCGCTGAGCCGCGTCGAGCGCGCTGCGCAGGGGACCTGCGAGAGCACCGCGCGGGGCCGCGCACACTCGGGGTCTGGGGCGAGGTCAGGGCTGCGCACGCGACGCCCGCGCCCGGTCGCTAGCACGCGGAGGGCGCTGCTAACCTGCCGGCGGGCCGGACACCGGGGACCTGGCGGGAGGAGGGCGGGGGGCGTGGCGCCTGCCGGGACCTGGGCACGTCCGGCCGAGTGGACTCCGCGGAGAGGGGCGCTTTTCGCTACACCGTGTTCCGGCGCCACCCGGACAGAACGCTTTCCACTCCAGGAGGAAAACGCCGACCAGTCGCCGGGCCTACAGGTTAGGGGAGGCCGGGCAGGCACACTCGGATTGGGGCGCTGCAGACGATAGAGCCCCGCCAGGCAAGCGGGCAGAGCCGCAGGCCCCTCGGGGAGCCGGATCTCCGGGTCCCGCCGCAGCAACCTCTCCCGGGTCTTGAACCCGAGTCCGCGCGTTCGCACGGGTCGCAGCCCTGGCCGCGTGGACCCGAGCCAGTGTGGGCGGGGCCGGGCCGCGCTGCCCGTAACCGCTGCACCGGGGACTCGGTTCCGGGAAGCCCAAAGCCCCACGCCTCCCGCGGCTCAGCAGCAGCAGCCACTGCGTCCCCCGGGTGTGGGGCGCAGAGCGGGCGCCAGGGACGTGCGCGGCCGCCGCTGGGGCGCACTTTGCGCTGCGCCTTAGGACGCTCTCGCCGCGGCCGGGAAGCTCCGCGGGGCCC